TAGAAAGATAGATTTGAAACATATTTATTTGTAATTAATTCAATATAAGAAGGCTATTAAAAATAAACGAAATTACACATACCATAAAATCAGCCCTGTCTCATAAATTTATGTAAGAAAGATCTGATTAGATTAGTAAATATAAAAAGCTACAGGTTTTGTTAAGGAAGACATGAAATGTTTGGGTTTTTTTTACTTTTTAATACTGTTCATCCAGTATGCAACGTATTCTATTATGAATGTGATGTATGCTGATGATCTAAGTGGAATATGTGTTTAGCTGGCAAGTCTGACATACAAAGATGTTTGAAATGGCATCATAGGATGTTAAAAATCACGAATGATACTTGCAAGCTTTCTTAAGGACATAGCTATAATCTCACCTCATCTATAGGTTATAATTTCAATTTCAGATGCCACTGGTTTTTAGTTCTACTTTATTTTCCCAGAGGTGAATAATTTTTTTGTGTTTCAGTTGTGCTAATCACTAGAGGTCATCTCTGATCTTTTGACTAGAAAAATGAAGCCCCACGAAAATGAAATGAGATCATTTGAAAGACTAGATTAAATAAAGGATTGCTATAGATGAATTTGCTATGGTTAGGAAGTATATTTTATAAGCTTCATTGTATTCTGCAATGGTAGTCCCCAATTTGGTCTACTTAATACACATAACTACCTATTTTAAGAACTGAAGTGAAAAGTGAAAGACTCATATTTTGGTCAATTAAGTTTTTCATAGTGAAAAATAATAAGAGGGTTTCTTTAAGCCATTTTACCTAACTTTTTCAAAATCACACTTCTTTTTGAGAAACATAAAAATCTCAGGTTCTCCTAAAGTACTTAAAATTTATAAATAAGAGATATATTAAAAACAGCATATGGAAATTTTTATGAATTCTACTTTTAGCTTGATCTCGGAAGATACTTTTCAATATTGTCGTTACTCCAATAATTCAAAATCAGTATGAGTATTAAGGCTGCCTGTATATCCTATAAACTTTTCCATCCTTGGAAAAGGATGGACAATAGAGAACGTCATTCAGTGACTTCAGCATTAGGCCTGTTGTATTGTTTCATTTTAATAACCAGAAGAGCATGCAAAAATAGATGATAGACAAATGGATGAAAAGAAACAAAGAAGCGAGAAAGCGAGAGAAAGAAGGAGGGAAGGAGAAAGAATTTTTCCTTTAAGGGAAGTGTTACCTCCATCCCCTTGAAATCACTAATTTAGATAATTCCCAAAGGAATCTTTGATCAAAGCCACATGATCTAGAAAACTTCTCAAGATTTCCTTTAATCAGCTTAACAAAATGACTACTGCCAAGTCTATTTCACTTAGTTCTATTAAGGCTACTTTGAGGCTCTTAGGGCTATTTTGAGGCCTTCACCACATAATCAAGACACCTAGTTGATAAGGCTGCCCAAGGCAGAAGAAAGATTTACTCTAAACATCGCAATTTAAGAAACTCGGTTTGGAAAACATGATTTAAGAACACATGTTATATTGAAATCCAACTCTTCACACTATGTTGGGATTACATCTATCATGACATCTCAATGTTTAGTAAAATTAAAGTCGAGTAAAAAAATCTGCAATTGTAACTCCTAGATATTCCATTGGCCTTATGGTATATCAACTATAACAAGATAATTCCAGGAAGTAAGATAGTGGTTACAACTATGCCTAATATAAGAAAAACCACTGCAGTTGCAGATATATACACAACATAGTTACTATATTATATTATATTATATATTATATTATATTATATTATAGTTATATTACCATAAAACTCCATAAACTTTTTAAAATTCTCCTATTAACTTACAAGGTAGTGAAAATGTATAAAGGAACTAACAAGTCTTGATTCAAATGACAACTGTGCCTGAGACTCTGAAGACTCCTTAGAATTTTCTCACACATCTTAGTGTGTTTTCTAGATATATATACTGCATTTAAAGTTTTGGAAAACAAACACTGTGTATTTGCACACACACAAAAAATGCGATTGTAGCATCATCATTTGGATTTACCTAAAAATAAATGTTTAAGCTGAAAATATTTATCTAATAGCCTCATTTCTTAAGCCCAAATATGGAAGTATGTATATTTATGAGTGTGTCCTAAGGAGGTCTATAATCAATAATTTCTATCTCAACATAAAAAAAGTAGTAACAAAATGGCCTATGAAGCAAATTCCCTAGGGCTTTAGAAAGCTACGACATGTTGAAAAATTAGAGAACACAGAAGAGAAAGACACAGCTTTGAACTGAATGTTAACACTTAACTTGAGATTATTTAAAACAGCACATTTCTATCTATTAGAATCCCCATGGTTATGAAAGACAAGAACTTATTCCACGAAGATTACAAAAATTATGATATTTGTATGTCTAATATCAGTACTGGCTGGGATTGCACACTGTGAAATAAGAAAATGTAATAGATAATCAGTAAGCATTTCACTCACTAATTATGATTTCATAATTTTTTTAACTTTGTATTCTCAAATGTCAGATACTTACCTGGAAACTGACATCCACTTGGTTGCTAAGAGATATGAGATCAGTTTGCATTTTTTTCTGTCTTTAGGAGAATTGCTCTCTTGGGTTTTACCTCAAAGTAGTAAAAGTTAACTCTGTTACCCATGTGGGGACTTATACTACTTGTACTAAAAGAAACTCCCAAATCTCAGAAAACAAATGAATTACTCTCAATTTGCAAAATTTAAAACAAATATCTGTTTTTTTCCCAAGCTTAATGAGTTTCCATTTCATGCAACTAAAATATAATAGCATTGTTCTACAATCAAATTTAACAGAGGAGTTTATAAGTCTTTTCACAAACATCTTATGATAAATGAAGTCATTCAGTCAATTGGTACTCCCAAAGTAAAGCTCAAATCCAACATTTCAAAAGTATTTTCTGCCTATAACTTTGACTATGTGCTTCTTTGAACAACAGGGGGACAAGACCAAACTTGATCTATCTGGGTTTTCTTATGCTTTATGGAAAGATCAAAAGCAAAACACAGTCATAAATATGTGCATTCTAACTGGTCATTAGTTTATCACAAATAATATTGATTTGCCTAATCAAAGAAAATATTCTTCCAAAATGAGACCCATATTTCAATCAGCACATGTTTCTTAATGACACTGAGCATTTAGACTCTCTTCACATGTAAATTTCATAACCTTTCAAGGACAATCTTCTAAATCACATTTTAAAGAAATATGCTGAAAAAGCATTCCATTGCAGTAACATTTTACATTACTATAAATGTAAGGTTTAATTTTTAACACCCGTGTACTTATCACAGAGCCATTGATCATTTACTCTGACTTATTATCAGTGTTTTACTGGAGTATATGGAAAAGGAACACAAGATAATGTGTTTCTCTGTCTACTAAGTGAGACAATGCCCACTTGCCCAGTCCCCTTTTTACTCAACTTCTTGCACACCATCAGCCAGCTGCGATCTTGGTGATCCCTTGTACCTCATATGCTGCTTTAGCAGTAAGTCAGTTTACTATGGACCCATTAAGAAAATTCCTGCTACAAGCAAGGTCTTTGAAATGCAGTTTTACACCAATGAAAGGGCTATCTAGTGCCCATCCTGAGGGGAAAAGAGATGAATTTATCCTCTGTCTTCTGGGCTTTTACTGATTTATAAACTCACACCTTTATAAACAAGTTCTGTCACACAGAGAGGAAGGAGATATGCAAACTGTAACACCTGGAGACATAAAATGTAATGACCTCAAATAACACATCTCAGAAAGAGGGGGCGGGGGAAACCTGGTTCCAGAGAAGAAGAAAAAAAAAAGAGGCAAAGGAGCGAATCTGCACCATTAAACAACAACAACAACAACAACAACAACAACAGGAGTAATAGAAAACCCTCCCGGGTTTTTCCAGTAAGTTTTGTGCAGGAGCAACAACAACCTAATCAATATGCATATCCTCACCCTCATAAAACCTCCTGTCCCCAGACAGAAACTGCGGGTCCCTCTCCACCGTATCGTCGGGGGCAGAAACCACCACTCAAAAGGAAGGAGATTTTAGAGGGGTAGGGAGGGGCAAAAACAGGTATGTGTAGCTCCAGCATCCTCATCTTCCTCCCAGCTACAAGCCTGAAAGTCCGCTCAGAAGCCAGCCCTGGCTCCTAGACACCCTTCCGCCTGGGCCCTCCCTGCCAGGGGAGAGCGAGAGGTTGCGGAGCCCGCAGCGCAGTTTTTGGACTCCATCAATGACCCCACCACCACCACCCTCCTTCCCCGTGCCTTCACCCCAGGCCCTCGCTTTCTAACCCCTTTTAGCGAGACCTTGTTGGGGTAGGACAAGGGATGCTCCTCAGCCAACAGAAGACGCGCCGGGCTTCTCTGCGGGAATGAGTTGCTGGGGGTCGGGTGGGGGTGGTCATGGAGAGGGGCTCTTTAGGAAAACCCAGGACATGCGGCGACTGAAACCTCAGTACCAGTCACCCTTGCTCCCACCCCCACCCCACCCCTTGCCTTAAAGCCGACTTCTCCTGAGGCTGGCGGCGGCAGCGTGGCGCGGCTGGGATGGGGATGAGAGAGAACCCCGGGGCCACCACGGCCTCTCTAAAAGGACTGCGCAGGTGGGCGCAGACCTGGAAGGTCAGCGAAGCCACAGCTCAGAGTTACCCCGGGCCCAGAGAGTGTGAGTGTGAGCTAGAGGGTGAACCCGCGCGCTCGCCGGGCCGAGGGGCGCTCGGCGGCAGGGCAAGCGCGGTGACAGGGGTACCCTGGCCACCGAGGAGAGACAGCTCACCCACCCCGGCGGCGACAGGGCTGGAGGGGCTATCGGGGCTGCGAGACTGGGAAACTTAATGCAAAACAGACAGCTTCCTCCGCCAGGACGTGTCCTCGCGCGCTCAGACCCGCTCCAACGCCTCCCGAATCACCCACCATCACCCACACCACCCTGCAAAAATCCCCACCGAGCCCTCGGATCCCGGGCGGGTAATTACCTCTCCCGGAGGCGGAGTGGGGGGCGGCAGCAGCAGCAGACACTTTTAGCCTGACTTTCCTGCGTTCGCTCGGGAGCTTGTGCACGCCGAGCAGGAGCTGTAACCTGCTATTTATAGACCGGAGCCTCAGCACCCGGGGCTGAGAAGCAGGAGGAAGCGAGCAGGCGGCGGCGGCGGCTCAGGGCGCGGGCCGCGTCTCCTCCAGGCTCCCGCGGCTCCCTCAGGCACCCGGCTCCGGCCGCGCTCGCCGCTCGCTCCCCGCCCTCCCGCCCGCCCCGCTGCGCGCGCCCCGGAGAAGTTGTCACCAGCGCGGCAGCCTCTCCGGCTGCTCACACGCCCCCTGGCACAATTGCTACTTTCTCCCCCCACCCCCACCTTCCCTGCTCCTCTTCCTCCTCCGCCCGTTCCAAGCGGTCTCCTCCCAGTGTCACCAGCGGCCCAATAGGGGCGGCGGCGGCAGCGCCAGTCTCGCAACTGGCGCAGCTCGCTTCCCGCTACTGATGGAGTGGAGTTGTTACCCCGGCCGCCCAGCCCTAAATGACCCAAACGCGCTTGCTCCGTGAGCTGACACCCTACACCCCGACCCTCTGCAAGCGGGGACGGTCGCCCAGCCTGGGCTGGGGGGAGCACAGCTGCAGAGTGGAGGTGAAGGGTGACCCGGGGCCGCCACGCTGAAACGGGGGCCGGAAAAACCACAGGGTTCTTCTCTAACGGGCGGGAGGGGGTGCCCCAGACCCCGGCCACTGGCAGCGCCGGCCCAGGCTGGGGGTGAGCGAGAGTGGGAGGCGGTGTCCCCCGTGCCCCGGACTTCAGCCTGCCACCACCCTGGGACCCGTCTCTCTTGCCACTCCTCCCCCTTGGCCCGGGTGGAGGTCTGGCGAGGGAGACCTGGGCACTGACTGGGCCTCCAGCTCAGGGCAGCCCACCGCCACCCACCGCCAGCCCCCACGTAGCGGCGGGTGCCTGAGGCCGAGCTGCTCCTAACCGGCGTGTGACATGCCTCTGGCAACCCGAGTGCGTGGGGACAAATCTGCACTCTGCGTGTTTGGGGTGTCAAGAAAACAGGGTACGTAATCACGCAGTCTGAACGGAGACTAAAACTCCCCCACTTCCTAGCCAACAAGACCACAGTGGAAGGCACGCAGCCTGGTTATTCCGGGCTGTGGGGTGTGGGGCAAATAATTCTCTCCATCTGCGCCTTACAGGTGCCACCTGGCGGTTCTCTTGCAGAGGTTTTATCTGAACTGCTCAAAGATAATGGGAAGGCTGGTAACGCCGAGCTCCAGTCCACTCAGGCATCCTCAGCCTCTCCCTTCCCTAAGAGCGCTTTATATTCACATTTGGAGTGAGAAAGCTAGTACACATGAGTTACATTTGCCATGCAGGAATCCCGATGTTAGGATGGTGAAGTCGATTTGGGTTAAGTCAGCACTTAACAGTTACACAAAGTGGGAAGCTATAGCTGCCCCCAGCTGTCACCCCTGCTGTCATTTCCTGCATCTAGGCAACCATTCACTCCATAAACATTTAACTGCCACCAGGTTATAAGCTTCATCTATGAGAACAGAGACTGTGGTGTTTTGTTTGTTTGTCTGTTTTTCCATCACTTTTCCTCAGAGCTTGGAACAATGCCTTACATGTTGTAGTTTCCATAAATGTTTATGGAATAAATTAAACACTATGGGCCAGACACTGTGCTTGGCTTGTTCTCTCCCTTAGCCCCTGCAGCCCTTCCCTTTCCCTCTCTTGAAGCTTTTTCTGCTATGCCCAGCCACCATCACATGTGAGCTAGAAGGAAAGAAGAAAGGTGAGGGGCTAACAGTCCAGGCAGGCCCTGTGGGGATGTGGATCACATTTGAGGAGCCTATTACAGTTAGATTTCTCCTGCATGGGGCAGTGCTGAATACACCCATTTTTGGAGAAAAAAAAAAAAAAAGACTATGTCATACTTGGGGCTTGAAACAATGGATAAATTCTGCTAATAGAGATCTGCTGGCAAGATGATACAACTTTCTCATTGGGCAACAGTTTCAGCCTTTTCTTAAAATACAGAAAGATTGAAAGAATATCAGAACATCAGGGTGCCAGAGCTTTGCTACTAAACTGGAAAGATGTTTAACATATTTGTCCTCTAACTTGAAATGGAGCTCTGTGTGTGTGTGTGTGTGTGTGTGTTTATGAAGACTGCCACAGTGCCAGAAGTACTAAACTGTTCCTTTTAAAAGACAGAGTTGTAAAATAGATGCGGCTGATGTCTTTATGGAAATGAACACTTAAAGTGACATACCCAGAAAACCCTCTTACAATTAAAATCCAGACACAGATCATGCTGACCTAGACCTTTCACAGGGCTGCTGAGGAAAATGTGATGTACCTGTGTACATCTTCTAGAAGTTTAAATTCTGGGGAGAGAGAGGGAATCAGGGAGAGAGAGGGAGGGAGGGAGTCAGATACATGTACCACGTGACATTTTAAAAATCCATCAGTCAGCCTGATAGTTACCTTTTTTAGTTATTTGTTGTTTTCTTTAAATAAGCCTAGAGGCTTCAGACGTTTCTGTGGTTTATTAAACTCATATTTAATGAACATTCACTTTTACAAACCTTGAACTTTTAGCCACTTGTGCCCCCCAAACATAATTCCATTTGTCAATGAAGGACAAAATATTTTTCATTTCCTTTTGAAATATCTTTGTATGGCCAGAGGTAAAAAACATGATTCCCAGTAGTTACCTTGCTGTCTAAAGCAATAAAATCAAGCCAGGATCTGCAGGGCTGGTGTCACACTCTCCTTTTTAGTGAAGTAATTCATTCATTATTCCTGGAGATTTCTATTTCAAGTGAGCTTGGTATGGCACAAGGAGGACTCTATACTTTTGTGATCCTTCACTATTAAAAACCTATAAAAATATAGCCAAGTATGACAGAGGTACTTTTTCTTACCACAGTTGTTTATTTCTATTAATGATAACTTTGCAGATCAAGTCATGGTTTTCATTCTAATTTTGAAAAATTAATACTGGAAGAGTTAAGCTTGGATAATCATACATTAAGGTCATTTTTACATGAGTATGCATGTGTGTGTGTGTGTATGTGTATTTAAATTAAATTAATGGGAAATGTTATTAGAAATAGAAATTTGACTCAATTTAACTAAAAAGGAGAAACCATTTGTAAAGGTACCAGGCTACCCATGGAACCAAAAACAGGAATGCAGCTGGGCATCCGTGACAACTTGGCAACAGGGACATGCCATTAGGACTTTATCTCTCCCTCCTCCCCAACCATGCTGCCTGCTCCATTCTTTCTTCCCCCCGCCCCCCATACAGATCTTCTCTGCCTCTCTGGTGTGCACTAGGTTCCATGGTCACTCACAGCTGTTGAACTTCATAGTCTATGGGCCAGTTCCAAATCTTCAAGGAAGTACCATGATTGGCCCAGGTGTTGTACTCCAGTCCAGACAATCATGGCCAGGAGATAGAGGGCAAGTTACATTCTCCTGGCAGCTACTATAGTAATCAGGGGGCTGGTAGCGATGTGTTGAGACAAGAGGGAAAGGATAAAACTTCCCAGAATGTGGGGAGGAGTATAGGTCACTCCTGATCACTGCTAACTCCTGATCCTTGCTGTTCCATAAATACTGGCACAAAAGGCAGAAGAAACACAAGGAGCAATGACTTCTGTGTAAATGCATATGGATGTTTAAATACTGAGTGAGGCAGAATGCCTCTTACTGATCGTGGTGCTCTAAGTTGACTTGTCCTAGTGGAAATAGTTATATAGTTTTATGATCTCTTGATGTGGAACTGGATGACCATGAAGAAGGAATCAAGTATTTCACAGACAGTTTACTTTAGCTTCTTTTATCATGGCAAATTAAATCAGAGATTTTTTTAAATGAAGGAAATGAGTGTGATAGCATTTACATTTATTGAAGATAAACATTCTGCTCTCATTTACATAATAGCTACATTTCTAAAATGTTTATAAATCATATGTTTGAAGTGAATCGTATTTCAAACATAATAGGGTGGTGAATCTTAACATTTTCGTGGTCATGAACGCCTATGAGAATTTGAAGAGAGCTGTGGACTCTCCCCAGAAAAAAATACGAGCAGATGCAGACACATTTGTGGTGACACGATATATGACATCTCTACCTTAGTCCCTTTTTACATATGATTTCACTTTCCACGGTGTCAGTTACTCAGTCTAGAAGCAGGTGATCCTCCATCTGATATATCATCAGAAGGTCAGCCGTAGCCTAACACCGTGTCACCATGCCTACCTCATTCCCTCACTTCATCTCAGCATGTAGGATTTTATCATCTCACATCATAACAAGAAGGGCTGAGTATACCACAACAGAAATTTGAGAGAGTAAGAGACCACATTCACATAAATTTTATTATACTATGTTATAATTGTTCTATTTTATTCTTACTTACTGTTGTCATTATTTCACGGTGCCTAATTTATAAATTAGACTTTATGGTAGGTTTGTATGTATAGGAAAAAACATAGTATATATACAGTTCAGCACTATCTATGGTTTCAGGCATCCACTGGGGGTCTGGAAGTTTCTCCTGTGGATACTGGAGGTCCACTGTACTTGAGATCTGAAACTTTAAACATGTTTCTTTTTCCTTCCTTCAATCACCCCCATTTGAACAAGTGAAACAAAAACTCCAGATACAAAAGATTCAAATGCCCAGTAAGCATAAGCCAAAAACTTGGTTGAGGGTAGTGTATGCTGGAGCCTATGTGAACCTAGGGAACAAGTCCCCTTCCCACCCACTCCTGCCCCGAATGAGCCGTAAATGAGCTTTAGGTAGGAAAAGAAAACAGAGCTCTTAGAAGGATGGGAGAAAATTGCAATGTGGAGAAGGATATTGTATTAGTTTGCTAGGACTATCATAAAATATCACAGACTGGGTGGCATAAACAACAGAAATTTATTTCTCATGGTGCTGGAGATTGCAAGTTCAAGATCAAGATGCTGTCATGGTTACTCTCTCCTAAGGCCTTTCTCCTTAGCTTGAAGGTGACTACCTTTCTCTGTGTCCTCACATGGTCTTTCCTCTGTGCGCAGCACCTCTGGTGTCTCTTAGTGTGTCTAAATTTCTTCTTTTTATAAGGACAACAGTCATATTGGGTTAGGTACCACTCTGAGAGCTTCATTTTAACCTAATCACTTCTTGAAAAGACCTTTCTCCAGACAGAGTCACATTGTGAGGTACTGGGCTTAGGGCTTCAACATATGAATTTGAGAGGACACAGTTCAGCCCATAATAGGCATTGAATCAAACTCCAGAATGAGTCTCGAGGTGGCGGTGGGATAGAGATCTCCCCTTTATGTTAACAGGGCCCAAGAGTAAAGAAATTTGTATCCAGCTTTCCCACTGGAGTGTTTTGAGAATCTCAGTCTTAATAGAAGAACCCAGAACATAAGGGTGTAAAGTAGAAATATAAATGCTAGTATGCCTTATCTAGATCCTGAAGGATTCTGGCCTGTCCAGCCCCTGGGTTTTCTCATGGTGCCTACTTAGCAAGGATAGGGCCCCTGTGAGCTGTAGGAGGTATGGAAGTTAGTTGGGAGAGAGGGCCAGCCAACAGGACATGGAAGAGGCCACCTGGGAGGGCGACCACATAAAATACCAATGAACAGTGTGGCCTCTTGACTGGTGTGCAGAGATGTGGCCACAATTCCATGGCATTGCACATACCAGGCACGGGACCAAGCAATGACCTCAGAATAGTCAGAGCCTATTCACTAGAGCAAAGCTGTGCTTCACTCATGCCCAGAGAACAAAGACCAAGTCACCTCTGTGGAAAATGAGAGAGGTCATCAACACCCAGACATGTCTCCCAGTATCACAGTGCTTCATCAGTCTCCTCTGGACCAGTAAGCTACCCCAGATTGAGGGAGAAAGACGAAGAGAGGGAGCAACAGTATCTCAAACTGGGTAAGTTTTAAACCCATTGGGTAAGTTTTAACA